AGCCTTCCCAGAACACCTAGGGCGATCAGGGGGGTCATCGGAGACGTCCCAGAGACCCCCAAGACAGCACAAGAGCGCTCCAAGAGTGACCGACGTGACCTCAAGATGGCCCAAGAGGCCTCCAGGACGGCCCCAAGGAGGCCTCCAAGAGCACTCCCAAGAAGGCCCCCCGAGGCAAAAATCATTGATTTTCTGTGGGTGTTTGGTGAATTTTGGGTGTGTATGTATGTCACTCGTACCCTGAAGAGTCCAGACGGGGTCACCAGACAGGCCTAGAAGGGCGCTCGAGAGTGCTCTACAAGGATCTGTGCAGCTCGCCGAAAATTGTAATGATGCCTCCCGAGAGCCTCCTCACTGTCGAGGGGGCCAGGATCAGGGGCGGTGCGTACAACATTATATATATATATATGAAAGGCCCGCACAATTCTCTCGACGATCTCAGGCGTAGGTTGGCCATCGAGCTTGGGTGTGTATGTATGTATGTATGTATGTATGTATGTATGTATGTATGTATGTATAGATAGATAGATAGATAGATAGATAGATAGATAGATAGATAGATAGATAGATATATAGATAGATAGATAGATAGATATATACAAGTCAGCAGTGGCGCTTCGCGCCATGAACCTTGGTCCTTGAAGTTTGGCACGCCGGCGAAATAGCAGGAAGGTCAAGCCGACAATTTTGCGATAGCTCCTTGTTGCCTTTTCCGGCATCGCCGCTATAATAATGTTATTCGTTATCCTTTCTCCATGCTTCTTTTTCCTTATTTTCGCCATGCCCTGCGCATTCTCCCCATCCTCCTCAGCTCTTTTTTGCGGAGGCTCCTCCTTGGAGAGCCTCTAGGGGCCTCACAAAAGTTGTTTCAGGCTTTGTTAAGGCCTTCTGGAGACCTCCTGGGCGTATTCTGGGGGCCTCCGGGGGCTTCCTCGGCCCACTCTGCCTCCAAACGCGGTCTCCCTGAACGACCGAATCACGATTTGGAATTCTTCGGAGGGTGTCTTTGGGCCATCTTGGGCTGCCATGGGGCCCTCTGAGGGCCATCTTGGACCCGTCCGTGTTGTGCCGTTTTGGGGCTCTCTTGGACTGCCTGGAAGCCTTTTCGGATGGTTGTGGGGCGATTGTGGAGCCTCCCAGGCGGCTTCGGACGCCCAGAAGACCGCCGTCTTGGAGCGTCGGGGAGCCGAAAAGAGGAGAACCCCAGAATTCACCAAAAACCCACAGGAAATCAATGATTTTTGCCTCGGGGGGCCTTCTTGGGAGTGCTCTTGGAGGCCTCCTTGGGGCCGTCCTGGAGGCCTCTTGGGCCATCTTGAGGTCACGTCGGTCACTCTTGGAGCGCTCTTGTGCTGTCTTGGGGGTCTCTGGGACGTCTCCGATGACCCCCCTGATCGCCCTAGGTGTTCTGGGAAGGCTTGGCAAAGCGCCATGTGAGGCCCGGGGGCCGCTTCGAGGCCCGTCTGGAGGGTCCCAAAGCCGCAGATCCCGGGAGTCCGGTTTTGGGGGGGGGGTGATGGGTTTTCCCCCCGCCTGGGCTTATAAAAATATAGGAAGAGGAACATGTGTGTTTTTGTGTGTTGCAAGCCATGCTTTGTAATCTCTGTGGTGCGCACCCCCAGCAGTACAAGATATGCAAGCTAGGTGGCGCAAGCTAGGTGGTGCTTTACACGTGGAGCTGACGTGCGCACTGTGGTGTGGGCTATGTGCTGTGCTGTAGGCTATGTGGTGCAAGCTATGCAGCCCGATCTTCGGATGAGCTATGCGGTGCAATCTATGTGGTGCAATGTATCTGGTGCAAGCTACGAGGCGAAATCTATGTTGTGAAATTGATTTTCACCCATGATTTGACACATCCCACGCTCTTGCAAACATCCCACCCACCCACCCGCAACTTGGTTTGCAAAACCTCTTAAGACCGACTACGACGACACCGACGACAACGACTACGACGACACCGACGACGTCTCCGACGACTTCGACGACGACAACGACGCCGACGCTCACGACGACGAAGACGACGACGACGCCAACGAAGACGACGACGAGGGAGAAGGAAGGACGACGGCGGCGACAACGACGACAACGACGACAACAAGGGAGGAGGGAGGACGGCGACGACGCGAACGACGAAGAAGGAGGAAGGACGGCGACGCCGACGACGACAACGACGAGGGAGGAGGGAAGACGACGAGACGAGACGACGACGACAACGACGACGACGACGGCGACGAAATAGGAGGGACGACGACGAGGGAGACGACGGAAGACGACGACGACGCGGGAGGAGGAGGAGGAGGAAGGACGACGTAGGCGACGATGATGACGACGACGCGGAAGGAGGGAGGACGGCGACGACGACGACGACGACGCCGCAAGAGCGCGCGCGCACGCTTTTGTTGAAAGTCCGTGTTGCGAAACCTTTTGTTTTTGTAAGTTTTTTGAACGCGCGATTTTGAAATCCTTCCGAAACCGATGGGTTTTGAAGGATTTCGGCGTACGCGCGCGACGACGCGCGCGTCTGCACGTCGTCCCATCTTTTGCAAAGGATTCTCGCGACGGTACACGCGCAAGGGCGTTCGACAGATTTCGACATGCGCGCGCGACGCCCGTTTGGTAGCATGTTGTGAAAATATTGAAAAACCAATGATTCTCTTAAGATTTCGCAAGACCTCGCGCGTAAGCTTTTTTAGCACATCAGTGTTACGAAACCCTCTGTTGTTGTATGTTTTTTGGAAGCTCGATTGCGAAATCCTTCCGGCACCAAAAGGTTTATGAAGGATTTCGGCATGCGCGCGCGACGACGCGCGCGTGTGCACTTCGCCTCATTTTTTGCAAGGGATTCGTGAAAAAGTGCTATGTGAGCACAACAAATGTCACCGCATAGTGTTTTTTACAAGGGAACCTCAGGGGGGGGGGATACCGGCTGGCCTGGGACATTGTGATTTCATATTTAGGATGGACATGTGGTCATAATCATTTATGATTTACATACCCGAAAGGGGGACCGAGAACGCCAGGGGGGGGTAGATCCTATTCTGTTTTTAGCAAGGAGAATATATGTGGTTCAATCACAAAGAGGGCGACGGCGACAACAAGCGCGGCGACCGACACCCAGGCGCAGTGGAGCGGCGACGGACGGCGGCGACGGCGACAACAAGCGCGGCGACCGACACCCACGTCAAAAGTAACGGCGACGGAAGGCGGCGATGGGCGGCGACGGCGACAACAAGCCCGCCTGACCGATCTCAGGCACAGCTCCTTTCAATAAGAACCCCAGGGTGCAAGCACTGCTTGGGAAGCTACAATGGGGCCTCGGCCACAAGAAACCTCCGCAAAAAACCCAACCCTGAAATCCGCGATTTGTTTAATGGAAACCTAAATCTGTCGATCGAAAATCATCCAGGTCCGCGTAGCCTTTCCGTTCCGGAGCGGCGCTGGACCCCCCCCTCTCGCAGGGGGAGGGGGACGAGATGAGGGGACAATTCCCAGGAAATCTTCAAAAGGATGATTCGGGCTATCCCGATTCAAGGGCCTCAAGGCCACGTAGACCCGGACACGCTAGACCCGGATACCCAACATCCCTCGAAACCAATTTTTCCAGACGGCAGCACGAACAAAACATTGCACTGCAAAATTTAAAGAATAAACCCGGACACAGGCCCTGAAAACCTGCAAGCCCCCCCTAACTCCGGACACAAACCCGAATCCTGCAGTGCAGCAACCAAAAAAAAAACACGGGTGCTGAAAAATGCATGGGTGTCGTTTCGGATTTTCCGTGTCCTAGTTCATCTGTGTCCTGGTCTCCAGGGATCTGAGGGCCACTGAGGCAGATTAAGGCGGAACAATCCCAGGACTGCGTCGGATGAAGCGAGAAAATGCAGGATCCGGCCCTTTTTTCGAACCACGGATCTGCCAGCGCCGACCGACTCTATATTTAGCCTCCAAGGAGACGAAGCTTAACCTTAGGTCGGGCACGTCCTCCTATAATAGAACACAGCAAAAAACAAAAAACAACTAGTCAAACATAGTCGGAACATCGTCCCCAGACTATTTTCAAACTGTTTTTTCATATTCCTCCTGTAGAGGGACATGCCCGCCTTAACCCCAACCTCTCCACACCTCTGGTGTGCCAAGAGGCGTCGGCGCCGGGGACACGGGTTTTCTTTCCGAACTGTTCCTTGAGTTTTGGAGCCCGGGATGCCCTCCGAGGCCGAAAGTCGAAAACAAATGAATAGTAAGAACAAGGAAAGGCGACACCAACACCACCAGGGCGAGGAAATGCGAGGAGGCAAGGGGGGTATCCCTGGTGGTGTGCCCCCCCCCCCCCTCTCGCTCGAGACAGTCCCAGCCTCCAACTCGGGGAGGCATCGTGGATCTCCTCGCTGGAGGTGGGCCACCTGGTGGTGCTGGTGTCGCTTCTCCTCCCTCCGAGTGTATCGCTTGTCTGTCACCACGCTGAAGGTCCGGGCACCCCTCCTCGACAGAGGCAGGAGCAAGGGGGGCAGCAAGGTCAGCGAGCCGACAAGCCGGCAGCCATACAGTCGGGGCGTTGACCTAAGGAATTCGAAAGAAGGAACGAGGTCCTTTTTCTCATAAGCTAAACTTTGATTCCCTATGGTAAACCTCAGGGAAACCCAAGGCAAACTATGAAGCAATCGAGGAACACCGAGCCCCTCCCCAACGAAAAAGGTTCCTTCTTCAGCGCCCCGACTGTAGATGCGAGAGATGCGCACAGGGCCTTTTCCGCGAGGCGCTCTAGTCTTGCTTGCCGTCAAGGCGTCGGAGCTTCCGGTAATGTCGGGCTGCCCACCCCCACAAGAGGTGGCTGACGTAGTCCTCCTCCTTCCAGTGGTATGGTCCGTCCTCTGGCCATCGCTCGGGCGTCCACTCCCTGTGTTTTTTTCGGTTTCGTGCGTGCTTTTTTCGCCAAATGATCAAGGATGCTCCTCAAGGGTCCTCGCCGAGAAAAAAAATACACGTCCGAGCGATGACAGGTCCTTATCCTCCGGCTTGTAGCCAGACGTGACGCGCACCCGCTGGAGCGCGCTTCTTTGATTTGCGGCCGTCACGGGCGTCATGGGAGGGTGGGAAGGGGGGGGCGGCGGGAGGGGACATAACATAGCGCCAGAGGGGGGGCACAACGTAGCGGACCCCCCCCCCCCCCGCGGCTGTGGTGCCGGACGCACTGCAGCTGTGCCGGGGACGCACTGATGGGGGGGAGCGATGGGGCAGGAGGTGGGGGGGGAGGATAGGGGGCATCACGCGCGTGATGGCCCAGAGGGTAAAACAAAAACGCTCTCCTGGTAGGTCTGCACCAGGCTTGCGATCCAGCTCTGTATGAGCACCAGCTTCACGACGAAGAAGCTACTGACGGAGAAGAACACCGTGATGGGGCGCTCCACATCTGCCATCCGCGCTGATTCCTTGTCACAGGGATCGGCTAGCAGCGATGTTTGTTTTCGTTTTTGCTTTCGGTTTCCCCCGTTCTGTTTTCGATCCGCCTCTGCTGCAAGACGAGATCGAAGCGAAAACGGCCCACGAGATCGCAAACAAACACTGTCTAGGTCTACCCCTGCTCCTTGTCACCCACCAGGCGCACCAGGTACGAAGCCAGGCTGGACAAGAACGACTTGTACTCGATGGCGTACGGCCTCCATATCTGGTGGGCGAAGAAGACGAAGGTCAACAGCATTGGCACCATGATCATGCCAAACTTCGAATACGTGGCAACAACTGTGCTGATTGTTTTGTAAATGAGGAAAACGTAGCGATTCAGTTTCAAGAAGCCGTACCATCTCCAGATAACACCAGATATTACGAGCGACTGCAATATAACAGCCCAGGAGAACATAGATGCCTCAGACTCGGAATCAATCAATCCTTGTTTCGCCTGCTCACGGTAGCGCGCCGTACTGCCGTACATGACCCATGGAACGACGTAGCGCATAACGTAAGTAGCTATGAGTAAAGCGGTTACACCCGTGTCTATGACAACATTCCCATGGAGAACAATGTGCCACAGCGTCTTCTCCTTCTTTTTTTCCTCGAGCTTGAACCAGCTAGGTTTGAACTGACAGATCTCAGGAGGCAGCATTTCTTTGCGGCCTCTCTCTCTGTTTGCCTTTTCCTGTTTATCGATCTCGGTCCGCAACTCCTGGTTATATCTCATGGTCGCCCTGTAGTGGGCAAGGAACTGCCAAACACTCACATAGAAAACAGCAAGTATCAAGAGACATGTATCGAGGACGAATGTTTCAACGCCATCCCCGTAATCCAGCGCGATAGGTTTGAATACCTGCGGGTCTACAGAAGGAATAACGACACCATTCGGGGGCATCTCCAAGAGAAAATGGTTCGATACCCAATAGTCGTAATTTCCGTTATACAGCACGAACGAAACGTGGATGGCACGCGTCTGGTCATTGAGCCACGAACCTTTCAACTCTTCCATGTCTGCCAAATACGCTTGCCGAACTTCACTCAAGGGTGAACCCTGCATATCGTATTCCACGATGTAGCCAGAGGTGTCGTACATCTGCTGCAAACCCTCGATCCTAGCTGTGTCTCCTGGCGCCTCATCCACGTACCGGCTTGGGTTGCTATCGCCTCGGCCGGCAAGCCCTGACAAGTTGGCCCAGTACGTATCCAAGCCTGGAAGCGTGCTCTTAAATGCACTGCTGGACTCGTAATAATGAGCTGCGCACGTGATGCTATCACTGAGATATTCCTTGTGGATGCACTGGTCGTGCGACTTGTCTTTCACGATCTGGGCCCGAAGCTGCACTTGCCCAGGCATATAATTACTCTTTCGCAAGTCCGAACTGTCGTCTAGCACAACACCAGATACGACATACGTCAGCCACGTCCACGCCGCATCCTTGTCGCGGATGTCCAGGAAGGCTTGGACGTGTTGGATCAAGTCTCCGTCCAACGTAACCACCCTCTCAGCGGACATGGTCGACAGCACGCCATCGCGGCAGAAGAAGCAACGGTGAGGCTCGAGCACGTTCCCCAGGTTCCACATTAGAAAGACCGCCAAGAGTAGATAGACGACGACGCTGCTCGGCGAAAAATTCTTCAGGTGACCGACCACGGCCTGGTCGCGCCACTGGGTGAGGAAGTCCCAAAGCCCGTACACCTGCACACAACTCCCATCTCCACCTGCTCCTCCACACCTTCCCGTCCGTCTCCTCCGCTTCCTCCTCCTCCTCCTCCGCCTCCTCCATGTCCGCTGCCTCCTCGTCCTGCTCCCTGTCTTTCGCACCGTGGGCATGGAGTGCTATGACATTCGGGAGGCGATCCACAACGGCGCTGAAGATCTCGACGCCCTGTGCTATACCCATCGGTCGGAAGAAGTAGGTCGAAACATGAAGTAGGAAGGCGTTGGAAATCGATTGGGTTTCCGCACGCCTCCTGAAGAGGAAGGAAGAGGGAACACCACTCGACTCTTGAAGTAGGAAGGCGCTGAAAGTAGATTGTAACCTGGGAATCCAAAAATATCTACTCTCAACGACCGATGGGTAGTGTTGGCAGTGCCGCGACGTCGGCGCCCTCGGCGGCGGCGAGGCCCGAGCTGGCTGCAGGGCGGCGAGGGAGCGGGCTCCGAGAGTGCGGGCAGGCACGGTGGCCGCGGGGCCCACGAGGCTGCCCCCCACGCGACGGGGGGCGCCCGAGGGCTGGCCAGCGCGGCGACATGGTGCTGTCCGAGCGATGGTTCTGGGGTCCCCTCGGGAAGCCTCGTCGCCACGGCTGGGTTCGCCCTGACATCCGAATCAGAGCGCACCCCAGGAGGGGTCTGGAGAGTACAGTCGGACCGAAGCCCGAAAAACATCCCTCAAAAACACGAGACCCTCCGCCGGCCAAAACACACACACACACACTCAGAGAACATCCGTGGTCGAAATCTTGGATCGATGGCAGGCAGGCCCTTTCGGAGGTCCAGGCGGTGGCAACCATTCACGATGTTCTCCCCCGTCCTACTGCGGACCACCGAGAGTTCGGCGAGCGTGTGCGTCCCTTCGTCATGGTGCTGGTCTGGGGGTGGACCGCGTCAAGAACGTCTCGTGGACCCCATGGTCATGCGGGAGGCGGACCCGCACCTGCCTGGACGTTGGCCGACGACCATCGTCTTCCTCACTATGCCTGACCCATCGGGGGTTCGACCGATGGCTCTCATCTGCTCTGTCCTGCACGTGTGGGACAAAGTCCGACGCGACATGGCGAAGGAAAGGCCAGATGCCCATGGCTCGCCCGTGTTCTGGGGAAAACTTTCTCGTGCATGCGCCAAAGCTGGCTGCGTCCACCAGGCCATTGCGCAACATGCGAAGGCGAACGGGCTCCCAACTTCCTCGCTGGCTGGCGCAGGATTCGGGTAGATTCTGGAAGAGGGCCTGCCACCACATACAAGAGCGAGCGCGATCCACCGTCGCAAACCAGGGGGGGCCCCCTCCCCCGCCCTGATGCAAAAATCGTGGGGGGGGGGAGTTCGAAAATCCGGAGCTCCCCTCCCCCGACCCCCCCCCCCGACCCACCTGCCTGGGGGGCTTCCCCGCCACCCTCGCAGGGGAACACCACTGGGGGGGGGGGTCCAGGACCCTCCCAGGGGAAGTTGGGGAGGGGGTCTGGAAGCCCTCCCCTTAGCGACGAGGACGACGACAACGGACGACGACGACGACGACGACGACGACGACGACGACGACGGCGACGACGGAGACGACGGCGACGACGGCGACGACGACGACGACGGCTACGACAACGACGACTACGACACAGCTAACAACGGCGACTACGTCAACGAAGGCGGCGGCGAACACGTCGCCTGCGCCCACGCCAGGCAGGCGCCTGTTGGCATATAGTACCACTGGAGCTCGATCGAGCTCTCTTCGAATCCTACTGAGGCCCTGCTGAACTCTACCCTGCTCTACTCTACTCTACTCTTCTCTACTCTGCTCTACTCTACTCTACTCTGCTCTACTCTACTCCGCTCATCTTCCCTCTACTCTACTCTACTTTACGTAACTGTATCCAGCTCTACCCTTCCGTAACCTACCAGACTGTACTCTGCTCTACTTTGCCCCTTGTCTACTCTGATCCTTATCCCTTATTGGTACATCCTCCCACTCTGCCCCCCCTCCGTGGCCGATTGGGTGCCAGTCCGGGGGGTCCCATCCGAACCTGCAAAAAAACATGACCCTGGCGACGTACCCAACCCCTGCGAAATGCGGGGCAGGAGCAGCTAGCTTGGGGGATTTGACGAGACGGCGGCGGCGTGACGTGGACGCATATATATATATATATATATATATATTCTTGTGAGCGGCTTACGGAAGGCTCGCAGGTCCCCAATCAAGGGAAAATGAATGAATAACTAAGTGAACCCCTGAGTCGCTAAGGAAGACGCAAACTCCAAAAGGGAACGGTGGGCAAGGGGATTGAAACGTCGGCGGGGCAGCAACAACATGACATGGCCCCCCAGGGACGGCGAGGCCCCGCTCAGGTCTGCGCGGTGCCTCACTCCGCTCGACCAACCAGCAGCCCCCGAAAGAGGCGAATGCACCAGCAACCCTCGAACAAGACGGCAGTTTCGCAGATCGCAGCCCCCCAGGGACGGGGAGGTCCCGCTCAGATCCGCGCGGTGCCTCACTCCGCTGGACCCACCAGCAGCCCTTGAAAATGGCGACAATTCCGCAGAACGCATCCCCCAAAGACGGGGAGGTCCCGCTCAGAGCCGCGCGGTGCCTCACTCCGTTGGACCCACCAGCAGCCCTCGAAAGTGGCGACATGTTCGCAGATCGCAGCCCCCCAGGGACGGGGAGGTCCCGCTCAGAGTCTGCGCAGTGCCTCACTCCACTGGACCCACCAGCACCCTTCGAAAGTGGCGAGCCCAAAAGCAACCCTCGAAAATGGCGACAATTTCGCTGAACGCATCCCCCAAAGACGGGAAGGTCCCGCTCAGATCCGAGCGGTGCCTCACCCCGCTGGACCCACCAGCAGCCCT